GAAGGGGCCGCTTAGGGGGACTCGCGGGGCCAGGCCCGAAGAAAGGCGCAGCTCGTCTCCGCGTCCCACTGGCTGGGACCAGTCCCATGGTCTCGGTCACCGCGGGGGAGGCTGGGAGACCTGGGCCTCTGGTGGGCCCAGGAAGAAGAGGAAACGGATTTTGATGGACAGCTGTTTGGCTGCGCACAAGAACGGGGTCCCGTGGACAGTAAGTGCTTGATAAATGCTTGCCGAAGGTGTGGGCCCAGCTAAGAATTTGAGAAGCTCATGTGGTCCTAGGCAGCCCCAACGTGAGTACAGTCTTCAGAAAATCTGTCAAAAGTCATTGATTTTCTGCTCACAGTTTCTATGCACCTCACCAGGCACGAGAACCCTCATCGTGTCCTCGCTGTGTCTTGGTTACGAAACTACGTGCTAGGGGTCCCTGGTGAACACCACCAGGCTCTGGCCTTCAAGGCCCTTACAGCCTGAGCATCTGAGGGTATCTGGGGATTTTCCAGCTACATTCGCACGGGAGAGCCAGAGAATATTATCTTCATGAGCAGCGTTGCATCCTCAATGGATTTATCTAAAATCCTTTAAACACAGAACCATATGCAGACATCCTCGATGGAATATTAATCAGAATTTTTTTCTGGGCTCTGAAGCCCTGATTGAAAATGCATCTGTGTAAGCAGTCTTTTTAGGAAAATTGCATATCTCACACTGAAACAAGTAAGCAAATCTTCCCAACCCCAGTACAATAGAAAAGCAGAGATGACAGCTTATCCAAATGAAAAACAGAATGATCTCCTTCTAATGAGAATGCAGGGGTAGATCAATTATAGACAAGTGTGCAAAGTTACGGAGGTTTTCTCTTTCCTATTTCAGTGAATGGTGATATGAAAATACCCTGAAGCCTCCTTGCTGCTTTGCGCGGATGAGGAAAGATGCCCGAGAGAGTTGAATGCCATCGTCAGCACATCTTACAGTATTTGTTCCCGCTTCTAAAAGGAACTCTGTCCTCGGGAACAGTGAAGACGTGAAATTGGAGAGCCAGGAGGAGAGCGACACTCAGGGGTGGTCACCGGGCCGACGTCACGGACGGTCGAGGTGAGATCGTCTTGCTCCTCACCGTTTGCCCAGACACCCCTGCGGGTTAGCCACGCGAAGCTTCGTCTAGCCAAGAGCTTGAAGGATATTGGAAGAGAATTCCAGAATGTCTGCCCCTCTTACTCGGCTTTAAGAAGAATGGAGTCGATTCACATTTCTGCCTCTCCTTGGCACCCATCTTAGAGTGGGCAGTGTCCATGTAGTTGATGAATTGTAGGAGCGGGTGCAGGAGCTATTAACTTTGGCTCATACAAGACAAGACAGGGCACGCACCTAAAACCCTTGGATCTACTCCTCGCTGAAACAGAGTTGTCTTTTTTTTTTTTTCCCCATTTTCTTTTTAATTCAGGGATCCAGTTCAGTTCCGTCCAAAGATTCTAAAGTGCCGTCCTTCATTTTCATAACTAGGTTTCCTCCTTGGCTGGAGGAGAGGGACGGGCAGGGAAGAAGTATTTTATGGATAAACTGGATAATATTCTAGCATCTAAAAGATGCACGGGCCAGAGCTGAGCATGAAGCCCAGTATTACAACCTAGGGAGAGGACTCTGAGTGCACTGACCAAACTCAAGTGGTGGGAACCGGGTAACAGAAGTTTCGGCGCAGAGTCATAATGCAAATTATCAACTACAGAAGTGAGGGGGTGAGCGCAGGGCGGGGACAGGCTGATTGTTGTGCTGATCTGAGGCAGGGGTTCTTTACCTTGGCAGCTCTGTTTTGCTTAGGCTCTCATGGCAGGTGGGAGGGTTGGCTAAAATTTGAATGGCCAGGGATGTGGCAGATGACACCTGCCTACTGGTCTCTTCCCCCCAGTAAAGCAAGTGGGTGGCAGTGGGTGTAGCATTCTTGCTCCAAGCTTAGGTCTTAAGGGACCTCGTGTGCCCCTTTGTGCCATGAAGCTGCCCAGTGGTCTGAGGCGGGGGTGGAGGGGGGTGGGAAACATGTAGAACAGAGTCGGACCCAACCTGCAGCTTGGAGCTGTCCAACCAAGCTCACTACAGCTCTGCTGGCTCCGTCATTGTCCTTGTTGCTTAGCGGGGCCCTAAATACTTGTGACACCCAGGGCAAGAGTGCGCACGCATGCTCTCACACCTGTGTGATTATCCTTCGCCTTGTACAGACAGGTATTCTAGCATTCATTTATTTACCTGGATCACTTATTTATTTACATGGGACCAGGTACCCATTCAAAGTGAAGGCTATTTAGGGTGCCTGGCACATCGGAAGGCCTGAATAAAAGCTCTTTGAATGACTAAATGATCTGGAATTTTTTTGATAATTTTAACACTTGTCCTTAGAATGCTGGAAGGAAACTTGTAAAAACTTCATAGTCTCAAACAAAGATACTAGCAACATTTTGCATGTTTTCCCCTGATACCCTTAGTGTTTAAGCATCAATAATAGATATTGTTCATCAGGGTTTATTCACTCATATAAATTATTTTCGTAGAAGCAACTAAGTCAAATATTGAAGTTTTACATGCCAAGAACTCATCATCTCTACTTTGAAGTTTAGAAACAACTTTTTGTAATAATATCAAAATTAGTTATTTTTAGGCAAATCGTGCTACTCATTTCCTACTATTTCATTTTCTTGAAGATTCATAGTTTTACACATAGAAAAGTATCCGTTTCTTTATCGCTTTCAGAAATAGCCAAGTATACTAACTCACGGTCATTACTTCACTGTCACGGCCATTCAAAGACAAAATCAAGGTCAGCCAATAAATAGAGGTTATTAATTCTTACTTTTATATATTTGCTACATCATTGTTTTACTTTATATACCTTTGATGAGTATATAAATTATGTAAAATGTAAAATTCTTATCCTTTAATATGAAATATTCCTAGGCTAGAATCATCAACTGAATATAGGTAAATAAATACTTTGCCTATCAAATTAGGTAATATTAAAATGTGATACCAGGGGTTGGAGAAGACACAGAAAAACTAGCACTTTGTCACACCGTTTGGGAGTGTGCATTATCACAGTTCTTCAAAGGATAATTTTGCTCAATGCATAAAAATTTTGAAACATGCAACATTTGAAAAATTTTACTGCTAGGAATTTATCCTAGATGAATAAGCATGAATATTTAGCTATGTGCCCCAAATAGTGAAACATTAAAAACACTAAATATTTAAAAAGTCAAGAGTTAACCCACAGAATGGAACAAATCCATCGATAAAAAATAATTTATAATACGTAATATCATGAAAAATTTTCATCAAAATTCAGTTGGAAATTAAGTTTCAAACACTGTGATTTTACTTTTGAAAAAATGATCTCTATCGAAGACTGATAAGATATTAATTGAAATGTTAACAGTACTTGATCATATAGAATTCTAAAAGATTTTGGCTACTTACACTGGTTTTTCTGAGTTATCTATAAAAAGAATGGTATTATTTATGTAATTCAAACAAATCTCAGTTTTATAATTTAATCAAAAATATGCATTCACTATGGAAGCGACAGTGTTGGATGAAAGATATGGCGTGTAGTAAAAATACCTTGGAGACAGAACGGGCAAAAAAAGACTGGATTCGATTCTCCTAATGTTTTCGACATTGAATCTGTAAATGTGGAACTGGTGTGACTATTTGAAATTAAAATGTCACCATTGAAAAATGTTGTCTGATATTTGGAGAAGTGTCTCTGTGTGTGTGTGTGTGTGTGTGTGTGTGTGTATGAGAGAGAGAGCGTTAGCATAAATATTTTAATATTATTATTAGCAGCACTAATATTTTAATTACATAAAGAATTAATTTATTTTAAGTGCATTTTATGCCCTTGGCATGCGTTTGCTAAGTGGCAGCTAATTCATATTTTAAGACAAGAAGACTTGATTTCCCCACGGGAGAACAGGCCGGTGTCTTCAAAAGTGTAAACTTCTCACTCCAGAGATAAAAACCATAGGCTGTTGGAATGTCAAATTCTGTGGTGATTTAGAGTTTATCTAAAAGTATTTGATTTGCATTTCAAATTTAACTAAAAGATTCACATCCTCTCTCATTTTTTCTGTTGATGACAAGAAACAAGACCCCCCCCCGCCCCCGCCGCCCCGCAAATATTCCTAAGATGAAGAGAGAAGAAACTTATTTGCTATAGACCTTTCAAACACAGAGAAAAAATGAGGGGGCTTGACTGTGTTTGGGGACATCACAGGGCAGAGACTGCCCATGCATTAAGGGAGGGCCTCAGGCAGGTCACAGCCATCAACCTAGAGCAAGAGCCACAGGAGCAGAGGCATTTTACCTGCCCACACTCATGCTGTCTGGCTGGGTCATGCCCACCCCAGCCCCTGAATTTGCAATAATTGAACACGAATTAAAGGGATCTGCTAGGTGAG